TATTAAAATTTTATACCTAATTTTTAAAACTTCATATCTTATTGAGTTTTTAACTAATTTTAATAAATTTACTATCATTAAAATCAGAAAAACCTACTCTAAAATTTTACATAATAGTTGAAAATAGTTTACTTAATAAAATTTTTTATAAAATTAAATATAAAAAAATTTGCCATTAAGTTTATATATAATTTTAAAATATTACTCTCTACCCTTAAATTTTGGTATTTTAAAAAATTGGGCTGTCCCGTACTGTAGAAGATAGATAACAAATAATTCTTAAATTACTTATTTTTAACTCATATGTAGCTTTAACTTTTATAATATAAAAAACTAATATTGTAAAAAAATAATGTTTATTTTTAAAAACATTAATATACATATAAATATTTTAATATTTTTAAGAAAATAAATCTAAATTGTTATCGTTATATGTCCATTCATGATTTATGTTGACTCCGAATTGATACGTTATTTTAAAATTTATACTGATCGAATTTAATCTTGATTTCGCCGAGAAAATATATAAATTTTGACTTCAAATAATTCGCTAGTTTTTTTTTCATTTTTTTCACCTCAAACCTTTGATACGATAGTAAATGATTATATAATAAGTAATAGAAAAAAAAGAAATATTATGCATTGTCGTTCTCTTATTCAATATCATTTAAAATAAGAACGCACAAGTTGATTTTTTTTATAATAATTGGGGTATTATAATTGACAAATCATACCGATCATGACATGGTTGCGGGTTAACTTTTAAAAATTGCACCAACCCTAACTCTAATTCTAAACTGTCCCTAACGACAATGACCAAAATTACTTTTCAGTGAAATAAACTATTAGTGAAATAAGCTGTCGGAAATGAGTCTTGTCGGGAAAAGGGATTTCGGAATTATGGGATCAGAGAAATAACATTTTGGGAAGGTGGGCTTTGGGAAAGTGATCAACAATGTCATGATATATGCCAAATTATGATTCAAAAAATGATATAAGTCAATTCTAAACTAACATAAATTCCAAAGCGACATATAACACAATATATACCAAATTATACGCATCTGATTAATGAGTTAATATTATTAACTTTACACTTTACAGTATACATTCTTGCAATATGTGGTTAAAAAGAAATAATATTTTGATGCATACAATTACGATTATAGAATTTGAAACGTAATACAAAATCAAAGAATAAAAATATTAAAAGACTTTAAAAAAACTTGATTGAAAATTTTTTTTTCGTAAAATATAGCCACATATTATTATAGAAGCCTCATCAGGATTTATATGAAAAGTATATTTTTTTTCTTTGTGTAAAACTTTCTCATAGAGAAACTTTAATGTTAACTCCTGATTATCGTTATTGACAATTAAAAAATGTTTAAAATTCTAAAAAAGATACGTATGAGCTAATCAATCGAATGAAAGTTTAGTAATCAGAAATTTTAATAGTAGGCAAGCAGGTTATTTGTTAATTGCAATTGTCTTTACGCCAATGATAATAATAATGATGTCAAATAGCATGCCTTAGTAGGCACGGACTAACAGATTGGACGATAATCTAATCTAACGCTAACATTAATAACATTAATAACATTAATGGGATTGAATAAAATAACGATAAAATAACGATAAATTTTTTTATGCAGAATGAATCGAAACAATCACAACATAATCGAACCAATCAAAATAAATCAAAAGATAATTCGGGCCAAATTTGGTGCATCTACCTAGGATCCGATTAGCACATCTAATATAATTAATTTTTACCAAACAAAAAATATTGAATGAAAATATTTCTTCTTAAATGAGATGACAAATATATATATATATCGAAGTCTAGATTAGACTGTAAGACAGTAATTCCGCTTTTTATTTCATTTAAAAGATTAAAGAGAAAAAAAATATTTAACAAAGACCAGAGGTTAATGGCTAATTAAATACATAAATAACTATTGAAACTAGCTAATTGTTTTATACAATAAGAAACAAAAGCAAGTTATTTGTTTGAAAATTTCGCGCTATTTTAAAAGTAATTGAATAACAAATTTGGATACTCAAATATTTATTCGAGTGTGCATTTAATTAAAAATTTTACTTGGTAGCACGAAACTTTAGACGTAGTTAGAAATAATAAGAATAGAAATAATAAGAATAGTAATAATAAGAATAGAAATAATAAGAATAGTAATAATAAGAATATAGTAATAATAAGAATATAGTAATAATAAGAATAGTAATAATAAGAATAGTAATAATTAGAATATAGTAATAATTAGAATGGTAATAAAATCAAGGTACCGGTACCGGTACGTGCTATAACCAAATAAATTAACGAGCAGTTTCTATTTCCTTGGCATGAATTTAAAACTTAAAAAGAAAATATACATTAAACATAGGCATTATTCTAAAGGTCGATCAATTGTCAAGATTATGTCAAAAACGTGTATAACGCGAGATACTGCGTGAATATATGCGTGATATACAGTAGTGTCTACGTGTTCATGTAATTAATTTAATTTTGACAGGATGTTCGTGCAATTGTTAGTGTAGATCGATATATAGCATATACTTGCAAGGTTAATGTAGTACCAGGTACTGGAATTTTCCTCTCATTGTATAATGAAAACATGTATAAATTACTTTAATGACATCGAATTTTTGGATTTTTCTAATTCTGAATTTTTAAAGAGGGAAATTCTTTTGATAGTTCGATCTAATTGATACGCATAACTATAATAACTATAATAACTATAATAACTATAAACTATAATAACTATAATCACTATAATTACTATAATAACTTATAATACTAGATGTGGATCGGTTCAAATGATTCGGTTTGTATAATAAAAACCGGATAATTAATTATCATTAGCTAATAGCAATCCCTTAGGATCAATCACCTCGCCTATGGCCGGTGACAACGACGCATAATAATAATGCACGTCATGATAATTAATATTTACTGTATGTACTGACGTACGTATGTACGTACGTGCATGATTCGCGCATGCTTTAGTTTTACCAAACACGATTTACCAAACCCGAGAGACTAAACAATACAATATTTTTTAACGTTTTTTTATTTATAAAAAAATCTATAATTTTAATAAAAATCTATAGGAAAAAAAAATACGCCTAATTCGGAATTAATTTGTTGTGATTGTGATTTGTACCGTAAATAATAAACAAAAAACCAACAACTTCATTAATAATTTTTTAAAAAAATTTTCATGAAATTGGGAGAATTTGAAAAAATAATTTTTTTTTTTAAAAAAAAAAAAAAAAATTGGCATAAACAGGGAAAACCTTATAATAGCTTAGTAGAAAGAAGGAAAATACGAACAATAAAAAAAAAAAAGACCAATTTAAAAATCTATGATACGAAGATGACGGTATGACACCGTGACAAAATAACAATGTGGTCACACAAACCATTAAACGATGATGGGTTTGGAAATACAAATTTTTAGCAGTTACAAAATCGAAGAAAAAAACCTCTAATATATGTTCCGACGAAACAATAAAAATAAATTTGATACTAATTTTTTTCAAAAAAAAGTAGCCTAAAGTAGTTTTAAATAACAAGTTTTTGTCCAAATAGGGTTTGACGATATATTATCGAAACACTGTCGCGATTTTTAAAAAAAAGAAAATAAAAAGAAATATATATTGGAAAAAAAAACGTAAGAATGTATTGGTGCGTCAGGTTGAAAAAAGATTTTCGAAGATTTAAAAAAAGATTTAAAAAGATTAAAAAAAATGCATGATCTTGTCGACGGGTGAAAAATTTTAGAGAGCAACTATAGCAGAATTTTCAAGATCAATAATTTTTTTTTTTTGAGCAAAACGATTCTATTTCATTTTATACAATGTTCTTTTTTTTTAAAAAAAAAAATGATATACAATATATACAAACATAAAATGTTTCAAATACTGTATTGTCTTTTTTCTTTCCTTTTTTTTCTTTTTAGAAAAAAAAAAAGTTCATTACTCGTAGGTCAGGATCATCCTCCGATCCTTTCCTTAGACGCATCCTTCGACGATCGTTTATACATATGACCAATAACTTTTGGGAAGTTGATCCTGAAGCCAGAAATTGTCATTAAGGAACGGGGAAAGGATTTCATTATTCCGCGAGATGACAGCAGGAAATAATAGGCAACGTGAGATGAAATGCGTATGTTTGTAGATTAAAAGAACAAGAGAGTCAAAGAACTGGTATAGTCGCTGACGACATATTGAAATAAGTTTCATCTCCAAGAAGGATAACCTAAACGACCTTCATGAAATCTAAACGAAAGATGAGTCTTTTAGTCAACGACCAGAAAGAAAGTAACCTTCTGATAGGGCAAAACGAAGATTCAAGATATCAGAGGCTTAAATATTAAATGCCTTGATTACAGCAAAATTTTTTTTATTAACATTTTATTAGGTTCTGTAAAAGGTAAACAAAGCAAGCACGACGAAGACCAATAGCAGAATGATTGCACCGCTTGTAGCCACTATCGACCTCGCCTTAAGATATCTGATTCCGTGGCACAATCAAGAGATTATTGATGCCCCCCACTTTTATGTTTTTGGTCTACCTGCAATGCATATGAAGACCCTTACATTTGATGTTTAATAAATTTATAATTGGCGGACCAATATTTTGGCCCTTTTACATTTACTCACATTTTAAATAAGCTCCAGGAACGAGTTAATATAAGTAGTCGGATAATTTGTGTCTTCTATAAGGCATCAAAAGAATTTGAATAAAGTTTCAAGTATTATAGTTTTTTATAAAAAAGAGTCAAAAAAAAAAAAAAAAAGAGTTATTAAATAGTTATTAAATAGTTTAGCTTTATTTTTTTGATCGGTAGTACGTTTTAATGTAATAATAAACTAAAAAATTTTTTTTGTTCATAATAGATTCCCACGTTAAAAGAAATTAAAACAAAAAAAAAAATGTAGATCATTTAAAATACAGTAATTTGAATAATTTGTCATCAGATCTACAGGATATCTAATATCAAGAATAAAATTAAAATTCATTTAATAATATTAACGTTAGAAGAAAAAAAAAAAAAATTTTAAAAAAAAAATTTTTTTTTAATATAAAGAATCACGCAATCAGAAAAGTACAATTTGTTTGTTTTGTTTATCCTAATCGCAGAACCGCAGTGGCGCCCACACCAAAATTGCAGGCTATTGATAATTCCCCGAATCTATCTGTTAATTCTTAACAGTTAAGACAGTTAAGACAGTTAAGTATATTTTCTAGAAAATCAACAGATTCGGTGTAATAAAATTCGGATAAAATTCGATAAAAAAACTCGATACAAACTCGATACAAACTCGATAAGAATAATGTAATACAAAAAAAACCTAAAGTATTTTTTCCAAACAAGTAACCAATATTAAAAATATTACAAGACATATTTACGCCTCGCACATTTCACGTGACTAAGCTTTTAAATACTCACGTGAAAAGAACACATCATCGGCGTAAGTAAAGAATTAAAAAATTTTCAAACATCTCGCGGGAGTTCCGTTTGGGAACTTTGATTAGTTTTTTGTGTTACGAATGCAACCATGAACTCACCTTGATAAAGTCGATTGGCTCGATAATACATAAAGATATTCCAAATTGATTGGTTGTTATTATGTCGAATAAATGACATTTTATTGTTCTATGCGTGGCGTGTAAGTTTGTTGATTTTAATCGTTTCACAATTTTTAGAGAAACAACAAAATCAACAATGGGCCAGTTCATATAATGGTTATTTTAATATCAATCAGATTGTTGATTATTAACTTATTAAAATTAAATTTGTCACGTAAACAAATGTGTCTTTGTCTAATGTTTAGATCGAAAGATATTCGCTTAGCAGTTGGTAACAGTTGGTAACAGTTGGTAACAGTTGGAACTGGCAGAACTTGGCATGAGAATTTAACCATGTATGCTAGACAAGGTTAGCTAATAACTTAAAAAAGTTAAGATATATAATCGAGATTAAAAAAAAAATAAAATAAAATCAAATAAAATAATAATGATATCATTCTTACATAAAGAGGTTTACATAAAGAGTTGCGCCAAAGATCCATTCCATTATCTCGTATGTCTTCGTATGTCTTCGTATGTATGTATGTACATCATACATTATTTAAGTATATTAATGTAAAGGAACGTTCCAATTATAATGTCTATATTCTCGCACGTGATCTATGGTGAGCACAAACTTTTTGTTTTACGTAAAGATCTTCAGGAGAGTGAATATATATATATATGTGTATTCGATTATATTCGATAATGGATAATGGTCAATGTTCCTCCACACACAAAAGTAGATCTTAAAAAGCCATCGCCCCTTTTTCCCCTCATCGAACGCCAGGATTACACGTTGAAATCTTTATTAATTTTAATCTTTTTAATCTTTTTATTACTTTGTGACCCAAATAATTGTCTATAGTGAATCGTCTATAGGAAATCTTTTTCTTTATTGACTTTACGCGTGCATTATGAATTGTTCCGAAATAGAAATATGGATGCTTTCAGGAGTCATGGGTTTCTCAAGAACAGGATTTTCAAATAACGTGATTAATTTTAGTCGTAATTTCTTTGTGCCTTATGACTAAAGATTTGTTTGTGTACTACTGTTGTAACTGTTGTGGAAAATATTTTGTAAATAAGATGTGAAAAATATTTGGCTTGTAAATATTCAATATCAATATCAAATAATGAATGATGCTTGCTTGCTTTATTATTTATTATCGGATTTATTAAATTTGATTTATTAGGTTCATTAGATTTCGTAATACGTACTTATATATTTTCAATTTAAAAATTTGATTAAATTGATATTATTCAATTTAAAATATTATTAAATTGATCTTATTCAATTTAAAATATTATTAAATTGTTATTCAATTTAAATTTAATATTCGGTTTCGTTATAATCTTATAATTATTATCAACAATATAACTATCGTCGTTGATCTAATACGTCGAACTAATACGTTGATCTGAACTATTACGTGATGCTTTGTTCTTTAGATTTCCCACAGGTGCAATGAAAATAATCACTTGGAAATTGTAAGTGATGCCGTGCCTACGTAGAATACGCGTCTTTCAATTGCTTTACGATAAGATGGCATTTCGGCGAAATTAACCATCGCTGATCTCTAGAAATAATTAAATCTTTATCGATTAATAATAATTCTATTTTATTATTCTGTATATTATTCTGTATATTATTTATTGTATTCTCATTTATATTTATTTAATTTTTAATTTTTATTTGTTTTTTTATTTAATTTTTATTTTTTATTTTAGTTTTATTATTTTAATTTTATTTCATCATTTTTTAATATTTTTAATCTATTCTACTCTTTTTTTCTTTTCTCTCTTTTTTTCTTTTTTTTTCTTTTTTTTTCTTTTTTTTCTTTCTCTTTTTTCTTTTTTTTTTCTTTTTTTTTTCTTTTTTTTTCTTTTTTTTTCTCTTTTGCATTTTTCGCATTAACAGTAAAATGTCAACCCCATTTACTAACAATATAAGGTACTGAAATTTTTTAGGCGTTGTATTTCAGACCCTATCTTCTTAGTAAATTGTTACAAGATTATTATTCAACTTACGTGGTATTCCCAAACTGTCAATCCCAATACCTTTCCAAATTCTTTTTCAAGTGTTGTTCTTAATAATTCTTGTGAAAGTGAAGGTGGTATATTGGAAATATGTGCTGCCGGTACCAATGGCCTGTAACTTTTTGTAGCAGGTGGAACTAAACAATTTAGATAATCTTTTAATTTCTAAAAATAAATGAATAATTTTCTTTTTTGCTTTTCATTTTCTTTTCATTTGTTTCATTATTTCATCAGTCGCACAAGTTTTACCTTGAAGTGCGTTTAATGCACCCCGCAATGGTCTATCATTATCATTATTGATGCTCTCAAAAATGGTGCTTTCATTTTGAAATCCACTTTTTATAATAAATTCTTGTCTTCTGTTTCTGTCTTTAGTTCCATGCGCTCGAATCTTCCGAATATCTTGTTGTGTAAGCCGAATCTTTTCTTGGACTAATATATTTTCATCTTCAATATCGGCAAGCTGTTGCATTTTTTGCTGTACAAGTTTTTCATATCTTTTAAGCGTGATACTATGAATCTCACAATCATTGCACCATCCAGATGGCTTCGTGGACATATTGTATTTCTCGTGCGATTATAATGTAGCCCCTATTGACTTTTCTTGACTTCTATTGACTTCTTCTAACAGTTCTGGTGTATCATTTTAGTATCATTTTGGTATCATTTTGGTATCATTTTAGTATCATTTTAGTATCATTTCATTCTTTAGTATAAATAAACATGAAAAACGAAAGAACTTATTCATTTTTCTATTTATAATCTATTTATAACTAAAACTTACCTCTAACGCGTATCGAAGCAATTATCAACAGTTTAATGTTTACAATCTTTGTAAGACAGGTAAATTAGAATGTCCATTATTTATATTACATAAAAAATCTAGGGGTTTTCTGTTTATTAAGCTGCACGTAAGATTTAAATAAAATGATTCACTTATGAGATTCATAAATTATATCAAAGTTACGTCACCTAATTCGTCTAACATTTGTAATTGACTTGAGACATTTATGAGACATTTTATGAGACGTTTATGTGGTCTATCCTACTTTAACCTACTTTAACCTACTTTACCCTACTTTAACCTACTTTAATGATTATGTTTTGTTTAATTCGTTAATTTCTGAAATTTCTTGTCGCTCGTACTATATTTACGTTCGTAGAATCATCATATCTATCTATATTTTTGACTATTATTATTTTCTAGATTATTTTTCGTTAGAGCATTTTTTTTCCCCAATTTAGATTGCAATAGAAAATACTATATTTACTGTAAAATTAGATTATCTGTTCTCTTCCCTGAATCGTCTTCAATTGGTGCTTTTTGGTTTTTTTTCATTATGTAAATATTGCATACTTCTTTGTAAATTGTTTTTTATATTTTTAGATCACTGACATGGTGTTTTTCCGCTCTTACGTTCGTATGTACAGTACATACACAATGCAACGTTTGCTTGAACCAATAGTCAATTATTTACCTTTATTTATTCTCATCCATTTTTCAAACATTTTATGTTTCGTATTTTATTCATCTAGTATTGAATTGATGATACTCTGATATTTATTACATGAATAACTTTGCATCAATCGCAAATTAATCTGTTTGCCAAGTCGGATCTTGTATTTTTTTTTTTTTATGTTGCGTTCCTAATGACTATTTATATCTATATATTGATATATATTACTCTCTTTAAATGGAAATGAAATAAATTTATTGTACAACTGTTATTCTTAATATCAAACTTAAATACCAAACTTAAATACCAGTTTTTCGTATATAATACCATTTATAGATTACTATTATATTACGTGATACCACGTGCTGTGATTTTAATTGGTCAATGTTAGTAAGTAAATAATAGGAATACTAAAATAACTGTATTCATTATTATAAAATACTGTATATATATTGTTTTTAAAATATTATACAAAATATTTAATAAATTTAAATATATTATTAAAATATTATATTTAATATTTTTATTTTGTTAATAATTACAGTTAAACCTTTCTATAATTATATCTTTAGTTTGAAAATTTTAGTATTTATAAATAGTTTATGCTTATACTGCATAGAGAATAAATTTAAGATTTGTTATATAATTTTTTTTTTTTTTTACTACAGCAATTTTATCTTTATTTTGTTAATTAAAAATAATTTACAAATACTGTATATTCTTAGTTGGCTAAATCTATATATATATTTACTAATTATTATAATTCTATACAAATAAAGATTCTTTTGATTTGTCTTATTATTACAGCATAAACACTTAAGTATAACCAAGAAATAATCTGTTTAAATGAATATTTTTTTCTTTTGAAATTTTTAATTTATTAAAAATATAAGTTTAGATATTAACAAACAGTTTTTACTGTCTTTTTTTATAAAAACTTGTAAAAAATTAATTTTATAACTATCAAATAATATTTTTAAAATATAATTAAAATATTTTTTTTAGAAAATTAGTTTATTATAAGTTTATAACTAGTAGTTATAATGTTATAATAATGTTTTTTTAAAAAATATTATTATAATATTATAATTATTAGTTAATAATTAATTAAAAACCAAATTTTCTAAAAACTCTTTCCGCTGATCATCAAAACACAAATTTTCTGAAATACAAAAATTAATAAAAACTACGAAAGACACCAAAAGCTATTAAGAAACGAATCTCAGAGCTCTAAGAAAAG